TCACAATCATCTATGTAAGAAAGAAGATGTTATGAGTATCAGAAATTAGGCCATGATTTAATATTGTATTTATCTCACAATCATCTATGTAAGAAAGAAGATGTTATGAGTATCAGAAATTAGGCCATGATTTACTATTGTATTTATTTCACAATCATCTATGTAAGAAAGAAGATGTTATGAGTATCAGAAATTAGGCCATGATTTAATATTGTATTTATTTCACAATCATCTATGTAAGAAAGAAGATGTTATGAGTATCAGAAATTAGGCCATGATTTACTATTGTATTTATTTCACAATCATCTATGTAAGAAAGAAGATGTTATGAGTATCAGAAATTAGGCCATGATTTAATATTGTATTTATTTCACAATCATCTATGTAAGAAAGAAGATGTTATGAGTATCCAAGAGAGGAAGTTGTATGAATAAAGTGAATGACCTTTCATGAAAAGACAAGAAAAGAATGACCTTTGCTGTGAACATCTGAGACAAACAACTTTTTTGTCTCTTTAAACAAAGATAGATCATTTCTTAGTGAGTCCTTTACATTATGCACAATGCATGTACAGTACACATGATTTATTGTAATCTGTGATCCAAAAGTAAGTATTATAACCTAATAGCTTTAGTTGGCAATTCATTGGATTTTAAAAATGAAATGGATGTCCAAGATAATGAGATAAAATGACAACGGAGCTCTTCTTAGAGATGTGAAGTAAAACTATTCGCAAAGGGTAGTCATTTTGTTACTCCACATGAACACAAGACATGATGTTAGTTAATAGAGCATTGATCAACATAAAGGTAATTAATTCAGGGAAACTTTGTCTCTTGGACAAATTACATTTGCACTTTACTAATGAAGCAAATGAAGTAAGCCAGGCAACTGTAAATGCCATCAAAAACATATTAAACTGTTGGCAAATGACAGTACTTAATCAAAGATTCTATTTCTCAAATTATTTTTCTATTTGCAATATTAAAAGCAATGATCTATATACTCTTTCTATCTTTCATTTGCCCTTTCATATTTCTACTAATTGTTTTGAGCACATTTCAGTTGAACATGTGACTTGACTTCTAATAGACTTCAGAGATGAAATAAAGTATGCTTTGTGTAAGTAAGGTACAGGGTGAGCCAAAGAAAGGTAGTCCAAACAAATATTAATAACTCAGTCATTCAGCATGGTTTAAAGGTTACATTTGTCACAATGAAACTCTTTCATTCTAACAAATTTCAATGGACTAATTCAAATGGTTGATTTTATGGGCACTACAAAACATGCCCAAAATGCGGTGTAGTCTCTGGAGGTAAACTTGAATGCATCAGGTGAAGTTATTCTGACTACAGCTCTTGTGTAATGGCCCCTCTTCTTCCTTAATCTCTCATTTCTCTCTCTGATGCTTCTAGGGTTGTTAATGTAGACCTTATTTTTGAAATAGCCCCAAAGCATATTTTGTAAAATGGCCATAAAAACGTGACATTTGAGAACAGACAAATGAAACTTGGAAATAGACCATTAAAACTTAGTAGAGAGAAATAACTTTGAACAAGATTCAATTGTGCAAAATATGACTTTAAACCCATGATGGTTGATTGAGTTACTAACATTTGATAGGGTTACCTTTTTTGGCTCACCCTGTACATGTATATCAATGGGCATTCAATAGAAGGAGTGCTCACATCAAACAAAAAGTTTTTCTTGGAACAATATGTACATGTAGGAATCTGAACCTGAATATGTTTGGTAATGTGCAAAAAGAAAAAAACACCAAAATGACTATTACAAATCACATTAGAAAATAATATAACCATTTATAAGAATCGCAAATCCCATTATCCCAAAGAATAGAATAACATATAGAAAAATATAAAATCATCCCCTCACTTCTTAATGTTAAAGAACATATCAAAAAGAGATAACCTATTACTGTGACAATAGCATAGGTGAATTGAAGTACATTCCTGCATTATATGTAGGCATATATCATACATGATAATAAAACATGAATAAAGCACCACACCATTACTCTCATGCAGTCATGCATATATAAGCAGGATAGATTGATGTATCTCATACTTAAGTGGGTTTGGGGTAGATATCACTCAGGAATATATATCATATCTGAGGAGCGGGCAGGATATATTGTATATGTCCTGCTCCAGGCCAAATGCGGGCAGGTATAATATATCCATCCCGCTCACGGGAATTTTTCAAAAGTTTAAAAAAGTTTAAATATCAAAAGTTTTAATTTTTTAATTTTAAAATTTTAATTTTTTAAGTTTAAATGTTACAATTTCATTGTATTGAACAAAAAGAATATTACGAAAATGTTAAATATAAATATCTTGTCATTTGAAAAAGGTAGAAAAGGATATCTACCCTAAATCCACTCAAGTATGAGATACACCAGTTATGCACGGTCGGTTTGGATACATGGAATATCCCTTGGGATATACAAAACATCTTATAACAGATATATTGTATATCCCTCGGGATATTCCCTGTATCCAAAACCTCACAGTGCATAACCCCTATATATGATATATAGAGGTTATTTAATGGGAGGTTTTTGATACAGGGTATATCTGAGGGAAATACAATATATCTACCCGAGGGACTGTAGGAACCGATGGTTGATATATTGCATTTACCGAGGGATATATATATATCAAAAATCAAGCATTTAATAATTGATTTATCCTATACTTAGTAGATTTTGAAGATAAGTAGATTATTACAGGTAAGTATGCATTGAATGTTGTGGAACCCTCATGTAATAATTACAAATGATAACTACAATCAAAACATGAATATCTTATCTTAATGTAAAGATCTTAACATTTATTGTTTTTTAAAACTCCACAGCTTTTAACATAAAACAAAATTACCGGAAATTTTTGAGCGGGTGATATATATATCTCCCTCTCTTTCTTAGCGGGAGATATATATATCACCCGCTCACCTCAGATATCAATTATATTCCTGCATGTTATTTACCTATAACACGACTAAGTATGGGATAAAATGTTATTTCTATGAAATAACATTAATGAGAGGTGACATTTCAATGAAATAACCTATATTCAGGGCCTACACAATACGCATTCTTCATGTATTGCAAATGCTAAGCCAGAATAAAAAACAAAAAAATTTAAATGGGTCAAGAAATCCTAAAGAATATGGAAAATAACATGCACTTAACACTAATTAAAACTTACTCAGGTCTGTCCCTTACAAATAATTAAAACAAAAATGATGAAATTCATTCCAAAATAGTCTCAATGCTTCCTTTTTTCTGAGCTAATTGTGTTAGTTACATCTCAAACTAAATGTGTCAATGTAGCAATTAATATATGTCTTACATATTTCTGAATGTGTGTCAATTATTTTAACATGCAAGTGATATCATGCATTGATTTGTTATGGCTGTATGCATGAAGCAAAGCATAATGTACCATGCATATTTGGAGATCGTATGGACATCATAGTAAAACATTTTTGTGCAATTATGCAATTAAATATGAGTAACAGAATACGTCATAGCATCAGTTGTAATCTTTCTTATTCAAATGAAAAATCATCAATCAAATTCTTCTTCTTAAGATAACAATAAATAAAATCAACAAAACTAAAACCCATCAATAAAGGACCGCGATCAATAAATTTTGAGATAACAGGAAAGTTAATCATTAATACACACCTCCTTGGCTTGTGATATAAACCAAATAAGGTGTGTATTAATGATTAACTTTCCTGTTATCTCAAAATCTGCTTGGAACTATACCATTGGATTTCTATGGGAAATTCATCAAAGAGAAAATTCTATGGATTAAGGAAGAGGTATCATTTACATAATTTGAGAAATTATTGGTATTCATGAAACCTATTTTAAACAGCATTAATATTATTCAAAAGCGATCATAATAATTATTCCCAGCCCTCTGAAGTTTGAAAAATAACAATACCTGGTTGTTAATCCATAGATAATCCATGAAAATGAGAAACATTTTTTAGGATTATATGGTGTAATCTTATAGTCAATAAAATGTTTTAAAGTGTATTGATGTTTTTTTAGACGAAAAACACAAGCGAAATACATGAAAAAGTTCCTCAGATTAATTCTACAAACAACTCACGGTCCTTTGAAGCCAATAAGTATTACATTACATGATGAATTAACATAGAATGGATCATATCTCATATATTGTCATGATTCACTTGTTACTTTAAATGTGACATTACGCTTTGCAAATGATAGAAAATCATCATGGTGTTTCTGTATATTCGGTAATTCCTCAATAATTTTGAACAAATTGCTAAAATTTTGACTTTTATAAATGATTTAGAGTGTTGGATACAGGACTTTTTTCTTTGGCAATTCTTTTATAATTTCATGTCACTGTATTTTGTGTTTCTAAAGGAAAATGATAAAATGCTGATTGTCTTCATCCTTATAACAGATCATTGATGTGCATCAACATAAATATATCTCATGGATTTTCTTTCCTAAACATTGTAACAGAATGACAATGAAAGTAAGGTTTTTCCAACATATATATATATTTATATGATTAGCGAAACATCGAAAATAAAACATTTTACTCTGTAGTAAATGAACATAAGTTATAATTAATATATTACCAGAGTGATGAACTTACACAGAAATACATATATATATTATATATAACAAAATGTTGAGATTTACACATTTTTGATGTATTCATGCATCTTCATCAGGTAAACATGTTTACCTGATGAAGATGTATGAAAACATCAAAGTAAATCTCAACATTTTGTTTTGTTTTTAACACTTACGTATATTATATATATATATATATATAAAATACATCTAGCCATAATTAAAATTGTGAAATAGAATACAAAATTAATTAAATATTGAAGAGCATTTTGAACCATGTTTCTACATTAAGCCACGAAACCACGTCACATGACTCTTACCTATAGAAGAAAATGTAAATACTATACTTACTCAGACACATCAATGGGCGTGGTGAGAGCCAAGAAGACCATGTTAACAAGGATAGTGATGATGACAAAGTATTCAAAGAACTGATTTGATCCAACTAATATTGCTAGTCGACGCAATGGATTCCATGGGGCCAAACAAAACCAGGCTTTGTTGGCAGAGTATCTGTGTATATATTTCTTTCCAAATCGTGGAGATATGACGATAAATGACTGAAAATAAATACATATGTATTACAAGTATGATTCATCATATAAGTAGTTACAACATCCAGGGGCATGATGCTGAAAAATATTGTAAATTACATTTAGCCATATATAATTGTTTTTCATGATATTACCAGTTACAATGCAATGATGTTTTCAAGAATTAGTCCACTGAGGACAACTTGGAAAGATAATACATTTGAAAAAGTCATTTTATATTAATTCAACCAGCATATTCAAGAAGGTGCTTCTTTGAAAATGGGTAAATGCATGGCAATAATGGCAATAATCTTAATCTTTGCTTCAAACTAGTAAGGGAAGGAAACTAAAAACTAGGAAACTATTCCAACTTCATCTGTAATGTTGCAATATCATGTGTTGACATTGCATTGTTTATTGTTGTATCGGAATATGTATGGTATGCTAATCGGTGTTAGGACTATAGTACACATCGAATGCAATTCTTAAGGATCGATTAAATGAGGTTAATTGTTCTTATGTCTGAAGTACCCTTTAAACACATCCAGCAAAGTATACAACAATATAAGAAAAATAAAACTCAACATCTTTATAGACTTTCTCATAGAATACAATGAGTGTATAATGTATAATTTTGTATAATGGACATTATGCACACAATTTTGATTGATATTTATAAATGAATGATACAAGCATGGAAAGTATTTAGGCATTTGTCATTTATTATGGCAAAGGCAAAACATTCACTTATTAACTGCTAAATGTAATAATTACTTTGCTTTAAGAGGAGAATATTCTCACTTAGTTCTAATCTGCAAATAAAACAATAAGATTATGATCTCCTAATAAATGCATTTATGAGGAATAATTATTTGACAATCAATGAATTACAACTATTCCATTGATCTGATAAAATGGTTCCCTAAATCAGAATTTGTCTCTTGGCATAAACATCAAAGAGCATACATAATAAAGCAAAATGACAACAGGTAGAAACAACACAACATATCATTTTCAAGAATACATCTTATTCTTATAACAATGATATCTAAGCACAAATGCAAAAGGACCAAAAACTGTAAAGAAACCTATAGCAATTGATGAAAGAAACAGCTTAACATATGATAGTCATGACAACTATAAGCCCTATCATAGGAGGTTATAATGATTTATTGAAAGTCCTGAGAGATTCTACCGACCACATACAACAATATGGGATTCATGGTCTAATCTTTTACATGCATTCAATCAATATCATCTATTAGAACTACAGTTATATGAGCTCAATTTGAAAAAACAACATTTTCTGAAGAGGATAACATTCTTAGCAAATGTACATTTTCTGTATGCTTAAAACATAGTATGATTATATATATATAATAAAAAATGTTAATTTGTGCATGGAATTTTGATTGAAAGTCCTGAGAGATTCTACCGACCACATACAACAATATGGGATTCATGGTCTAATCTTTTACATGCATTCAATCAATATCATCTATTAGAACTACAGTTATATGAGCTCAATTTGAAAAAACAACATTTTCTGAAGAGGATAACATTCTTAGCAAATGTACATTTTCTGTATGCTTAAAACATAGTATGATTATATATATATAATAAAAAATGTTAATTTGTGCATGGAATTTTGATGAACTCTGAATCTCAAAGTTCATTTCAAAACAGTTTTTCCAAAACTTGCAAAACAACCAATTTGATCAATTGCAGCCCTCAATATTGGCCTAAACTGGTCAATAGCATCATTGATATGCTGTTGAGACAATGAATTTCGCTTCTCAACAATTCTGTCCTTAAGGGATTGAATAGATATAAAGGATTTATGGTACGCCAACTCTATTATTTCTCCCCATACGTGGTAGTCGCAGACATTGGGTGATCTGGGCGGGGAGGGGGCACTGATTAAGGGGGGATGAATCTAGGCACATTTTCTTTTAAACATTTGACACTCTTGTGGGATCTATTGCTTAAAGCCCCATCTTGTTGGAAAATATAATAATTTGGAAATGAGGATCATATCAGGATGTTCAAAAAACAACATAATTGGATCATCCGATGCCAACGTCTGCGACTACCACGTATTGGGAGAACTAACAGAATTGGCGTACCATGAACACCTTACATCTATTCAGTCCCTTAGGACAGGATTGTTGAGAAGTGGAATTCATTGTCCCAACAGCATATTAATGATGCTTTTGACCAGTTTAAGCCAACATTGAGGGGTATAATTGATCAAAATGGCGAACATATTGAACATCTGTTTATGGAAATAAAGTTGACAAAAAAACTGTGTTTTGCAAATTTTGGAAAACCTGTTTTGAAACGAAAATGACGTCATTTATATTATGGACGCTGGTTGACAGACATTATAATAAATTTGAACTTATGATATACCATATTAAAGATAAGTAAATTCCCTATCCACTGGTATATAATAAGACATGTTTTCATCAAGAAAATCAATATTTATTTTTGAAATATGAGTGTCCCATTTTTTGGACCACCCTGTATTTGTTAACTTATTGGAAATTGTAAGAATTTGTTACAATAGCCACCCATCAATCATCAATTTTTCTACACTAAGTTTTTAGTTTATTTGATGAATACTAAAGTTACAGCGCTTCAAAGTCAATTTTGAAAATAATTTTTCGCCTCCTGTGTTATTTCAATGGGAGGGTTTTTTGAAAAACAATTTTGACTTAAAAGCCCTATAACTTTGTTGAACCTGAAGAAACATATCAATTTTTTGTTAAATAAAGTTAGCAAATTCAATTGCCTCCCTAACTCGTATTTTTTGCAAAGACTCAGATGGATGGATATTCTGTCATATGACTTGCGGCAAACCTACCATTTCCTATTGGTTAACATGGGAATGTCGATTTTCAAAAATTCATCAAATTTATCATCAATTTTTGACTTATTGTAATTGAGGAAAATATTGAGAAAATTTGGAGGTATTGGAAATTAAGTCTTAAGTAAATAAAAATTCAAAGGTAAAGAGGCTTTAACACATAGTTCAATGGGGGAGCTAAGGTTGCCAAACTTATGGAGGGGAGTGCAAGTTACCACAATGTCTCTTCGCTTTGGTCTTTATAATAGAAACACTGCACACAGTGCAAAGTATTGATTGTAGGCACGTACCCTATATGTTAACATGGAGACATAATAATATAAAGGTTTCAATGGTACATTTTAACTTTTTATTCATTGTTGCCTTTTCAAGACCAGCTCAATATTATAAAAAATCAAGTTCATGAGTATAATGTACACAAAGGACCCATGCAAAAGAAAGCCTGAATATTGACACTTGGTAGGGCATTGCAGTCAAGGTGCCTTAGTTCTATACAGTTTATTGACAAAGTTCAAAAAAATTGGATTCGGTTGCAAAATCAACTGTTGAAAAGCAAAATAGCTGGAGCGTTTATTACACAAACTTTTGCAACTTCTTCTAAAAGGATATCATATAATGTTTTTAAACTGCTTTATATTACAAGATGGTAAATGTTTATTAATAAAATACTAATGGAGTAGTTCCTATTAAAGGCCCACTATACTTAATTTAGAAGAAAAAAGAAAAAAATTATCATTGAAACATATTACTCACACACTCGCTCGAATACGAAACAAAGTTTGATTTGCTTTAATATTGAACCAAGAAAAAAATAATTCACATGGGAAAAGCATTTGCATTTCAGAGATCATAAGACATGCATGCACATACTAAACAAAGTACATGTTTTTAATTACTTTTGATTTAAAAGATGGCGACACATCTATAAAAATGAATGTATCATGTAATAAAAACAACTTCGCCATCTTTTAAGAACATTGATAGAAACTTGATATATAAAGCTTGACAGATCGAAAATGTTTTTTGATTCATTATTGTAAGCTTTGGTGTGGTCCGATTGAGCTGTTGTTGGTGTCAAATGAAAGATAGGGTTCTTATAAATACATTGAACATTCTGTAGAATTCAAATAAAAGTCTTTATTTTTCCCAAAAACATTGAAAATACGCGAAGTGGGCCTTTAACATTAACATTTGCATTTGTACTTGTTGAATGACCTTAATAATTGGAATAAAGGCCAGGCTCACAGTACCATAGGCCCTTAATGTACGCTAGGTCTTATGTAACTCCAAGCAAACACAAGAGCTTGACATGCAAAATTAAAAAATGGCAACTCTGTATTAGTTACAATGTAATATTTATCGGGTCCGCGCATATACGATGAATACAATGTATTTAATGTCATAAACAAAAGATGTACATAATGTTGATATGCTTGAGAAGATATTTTGTGATTTATTATGAAAGTTCTGTGCGTAACACTTAATTTTCCAGTCCGTGAACATTTGATTCGATTTTGTTATGAATGATATTAAAGAACACTAAACAAGCTTTCCAATGGCAATGACATGTGACTCGCTATTTCAAATCATATGTATAATATTGTCAGTCAGCAAAGAATCTTTTGTCATCTATTAATAAAGTTCAATGCGTTATAACAGTTATTGATTCACTTCTGTTAGAAGGAGACTAAAGAAGACAAGATATGCTTTCCAATGGTGTGTTGAGCGTTGTATATGTGGCTAGGTATTTCAAATCATAGAAATATATAATGTTGTCAGTTCATGAAAATATTTCATCATCTATTACACAATGCGTCATACATTTAATTTCAATTCAAATTACTGTATTTTTCTTTTACATTTTTATCCCATTTTTCTGCCCTCGAGAAGGGGTCCTTGAATTAAAGGCTAGACAACACGGAATAAATGTTAGAATTGTGGCGGCAACTTTTTTTTAATTGGCTTCCATTTTCGAGGATTGTTCTAAATCAGACATCCTATGGCCAATAGGCGTACTCTATAAACTATTGAATTGTTTTTTGAATAAATAGATGGACAAACAGACAACAAAATGGGCGGCTTTTCTCTGACGACAGGTTGTTCTAGTCTCAAAATACATGTTCTCTCATTTGTAAAGATTTTTGTCAACTCTAATTAA